TATATCGATCATAGTAATCATATCAAGAAACATACTTCCGAATCCACAGAATCAAATGCTTTGTGAAAAATCTAAAAACAGCATAAAACCATCATCTTTTATTAAATGACTATAATCAATAATGTCCTGAATGAGGAAGATGTTGTTATGGATCTGTCTTTTAGAAAGCCAGATTGTGTTTGACTAATTAATTTAGGTAAACCAGTTTTTAATCTGGTCGCCAAACTGTTGCGAGGATCTTGTAATTCATGTTCAAAAGTGTAATAGGCCTTAAATTATTTAAAATTCTTTTATTTTTACCAGGTTTTGTGATTAATTTAATTTGTTTCATAGTTTCCATGAGCTCTTAACATTCTTCTATAGCCTGAAACAGCAAAAGTTTTAAATCCTCCCAGAAATGTTTATACAAGTTAGCTGTTAATCCGTCAGACACAGGGGCGCAATCAGACGCCATCTTTCTTATTGCACAGTCAAATTCAGAGATTCTTAGCTCTTCATCACAGATTTCCTTAACATTTTCATCAGTAACAGGAATCATATCACTTACTTTATTAAAGGATGAAGTATTTTGTTCTATATGTGAAGATTTATAAAGATGGTTGTAGAAATTAAATACTTATTTTTGGGGGATTTGAACATTCCACTCCATCAATCATAAAACTATTAATTGCATTATATTCATGTCTACGCTTTTCTAAATTACAAGGTATTGTTCTTTTCTGCCTCTTCGATTCACCTGGCTCTGGACCTTATGTAGGCACCTTTTGCTGTTTATGCATATTTCATACAATTTAGATTGTAATTATATTTTCTCTATCCTCATCACTCCAATTTAATTTACTGTAATGTGACATCACATCTTTGAACACCATTGTTTCTTCTGTTTTCATTTTTATGTTTAAATCTTGTCCAAATCTAATTGCATACTTTCTAATGCTGTATTTCAAGTATTCCCATTTAAGAATTGGTGTTTCAATAGAATTATCATTCGTAATATTTAGGATAAGTTCTTTAATAGACAAAACTCTAAATTTGTAAGATATTTTGAATTAATAATTGTAGGTTTACGACCTCAATTATAAAATTGAATTTTCAAAGCAAATTAATTCAGTTTCAAACCATTAACCATGGGACAATGTGTACACAATTTCGTTCCACCACATGTACCACATATGACGTGAACGACAAAGAAACCTTGATTAAATTCAGTTTAAATTTAGCGAAACTCAGTTTCAAAACAGCAATTCAAGTTCAGTTTTAGATGACATAAATTTCAGCCCATACTTTCCATTGCCTGTTGGTTTGAAAACAATTCACACACACACTTTCTGGCTCAGTAGTTTGTAAGCAGACATTCTTTGGATGACCAAAGTGGTCCTGCCCCTTTAAATGTGTCCCCTTGTGTAAAAATACAAAGTGCTTAAAATATTAAACCTAACTTCCGGTTTGAGTTTAATAAATAAAATCACTTGAAACCGGATATGTTGCAAATTTACTCGCTTTTGTTTCTCTCATTGAGCTCAGTACAAGTTAATTTGTGATTTGTATTCATACATTAAAATATATTTTATCCATAGTGCTATTAGTGAGAGGAAAATAATCCGTTTGGGCTTTTAATTTGACATTTTGCAAACAGTACTTCCGGTTTATTATGGCAGTCACGGGGTAACTTGACACCTCTGACCGCATCCTTTTGGTTCCAGATGGGATGTGGGAACCAGTGCTGCTAGCTTACAGTACGCATGCGCGAGCGACGCTAGTACTCGACTTCAGACTCGCGCAGCTTTGTGCTAATTCTCAGTCTAAAGGAGAAAAGTTATTTTTGAGGGACTACTTAAGATGTCTTCCTCTAAACAGCTGCTCTAAGTGGGGTCAGAGATGGCCGCAGACGTCGATAAAAGGAGCCCGGAGACGGACTCTAACGGGCACCCGGCCACGGGCTCTGGGTCCTGGTTCTCCAGGGGGACGTGGACCTTGCTGGTGTTCTGCGCTGTGCCGCTTCTAGCGTTTGGGATTAAGCACTACCAGGATGTCCAGCTCCTCAAACGTCACGTAAGCTCCACATCTGGAATGCTCGTTTCGTACCTCAGGGCGTAATTTATGGAGAACATGGATGAAGCTGACTCTCTGTGAGCTGCTGGGGCGTTCAATGACCTGTGGTTGTATGGGGATTTTTCGTTTGTCCACATTGTGCATCTGGTTTTAAAAGCTTTCCCACCTTTTACTGGAAGCTTTTATTAGGTGGGTGGTTCTGTCTACCAGCTGCTGATAAAACACAACAAACTGTTGTTGGGCCCCTCTGGACCCTCCATTGTGCAGACTCTTGCATCATTAGAGAGGGTGGTCTACATTCCTGTGTGTAATCTGTAACCCTGAGGCTGATCTTCATCCAGACTGAGCTCCTGAGATTAAATTACATCCTGACTTTAGTAACGTTTACTGGAATCGTGCATCAGCAACAGCATTTTTGATGATTAGTCCTCCCAAATATTTAACATTTTGTATTACAAGTGATGTCATCGTTCCGTGTCCTAGTTTTGATGCTGTTCAGAACCTCTGAAGCGTGTTCTAACGGCGAGCATCTCTTTTAATCCACGTTTCCTTCCACCAGAAAGAGAGCGTTCGAACTCTTGGTGCCGAGGGCCTTTTTCTCTTCTCCTCCTTGGACGCCGACCACGACCTCTATCTCAGTCCCGAGGAGTTCAAACCCATTGCGGAGAAACTCACAGGTGCGTCCTTTCAGTTTTAGTTCGTTCTTCCTCTGATCACATAAAACACGCACTAACTGTGTTGGGAATCCTCACAGGGATCACAGCCCCAGTGGATTTGGAGGAGGAGGAGATTCATGACCCAAATGGGGAGACTTTGATCTTGGAAGCCAAAATGCAGGCTCTGCTGCTCGACTCCATGACGAAAAGCAAGGACGGTTTCCTGGGAGTAAGAAGCCTCCCAGCTCTCCGTGCTGTTTTTTTTTAACAGCGTGCTTAGTGTTTTATAAAAACAACAGCTGTCGGAGGATTTGTAATTATCTTTGTGCTTGTGTATATTTTTTGTGGCCCAGGTTTCTCACAGCTCGCTAAGCGGCCTTCGCTCTTGGAAGAGCCCTGCGGTGCCTTCGCTGTCTTTCTTTGCCAGCCAGTTCAGAGCATTTCTACCCCCAAAAAACAAGATGGAGGTTGGAGACACTTGGTGGGTGATTCCCAGTGAGCTCAACATCTTCACTGGATACCTGCCCAACAATCGGTACCACCCTCCCGCCCCAAAAGGCAAAGAAGTAATGCCCTAAAAAATGTTTTCCTGCTCAGTCTGTTTGGATTGTCCTTTTCTCTCTGTGTTTAAGGCCTTTCCTTCCTGCTGCAGGTTCTCATCCACTCCTTGTTGAGCATGTTCCACCCTCGGCCCTTCATCAAATCACGTTTCGCTCCACAGGGAACAGTCGCCTGCATTCGTGCCAGCAGCGATTTTTATTATGACATCGTCTTCAGGTGAGGAGTGAGACAGGAGGAGGCAAGAATGACCTCGATGGTGCTTCGTCATATTTTTGCTGGTTCAGCAGAATTTTCCCTTTTTATTCTGACTGTCCAGGAATCATAATGAATATTAATGTTGTTGTTTATTCTGGCAGGCAGCCACTGTCGGTGTACAATCAAACCACTAAGATCGATCCAGCCCGGGGTTCATGTCCTAATAAAGTTTTCTCTTGGTACCATTTACAGGTGCTGGTCATAAAATGAGAATATCATGAAAAGTTGATTTATTTCAGTAATTCCATTCAAAAAGTGAAACTTGTATATTATATCCATTCATTACACACAGACTGATTTATTTCAAATGTTTATTTCTTTTAATGTTGATGATTACAACTGACAACTAATGAAAACCCCAAATTCAGTATCTCAGAAAATTAAAACATTACTTAAGACCAATTAAAAAATATATTTTTAGAAATGTTGGCCAACTGAAAAGTATGAACATGTACATCATCAATACTTGAGACTCCTTTTCTCTGGATTACTGCATCAATGTGTTGTGTCATGGAGTGGATCAGTCTGTGTCACTGCTCAGGTGTTCTGAGAGCCCAGGTTACTCTGATAGTGGCCTTCAGCTCTTCTGAATTGTTGGATCTGGTGTATCTCATCTTCCTCTTCACAATACCCCATAGATTTTCTATGGGGTTAATGTCAGGCAAGTTTGCTGGCCAATTAAGAACAGGGATACATGGTCCTTAAACCAGGTACTGGTAGCTTTGGCACTGTGTGCAGGTGCCAAGTCCTGTTAGAAAATGAAATCTGCATCTCCATAAAGTTGGTCAGCAGCAGGAAGCAGGAAGTCTCTAAAACTTCCTGGTAGATGACTGTGTTGACCTTAGACCTCAGAAAACACAGTGGACCAACACCAGCAGATGACATGGCACCCCAAACCATCACTGACTGTGGAAACTTGACACTGGACCTAAAGCAATGTGGATTCTGTGCCTCTCCTCTCTTCCTCCAGACTCTGGGACCTTGATTTCCAAAGGAAATGCAAAATTTATTTTCATCAGAGAACATAACTTTGGACCACTCAGCAGCAGTCCCAGGCGAGACGCTTCTGACACTTTCTGTTGTTCAAGAGTGGCTTGACACAAGGAACGTCTGAGCGTGGTGGTTCTTGAAGCACTGACTCCAGCTGCAGTCTACTCTTTGTAAATCTCCCCCACATTTTGGAAATGGTTTTGTTTCACAATCCTCTCCAGGCTGCAGTTATCTTTGTTGCTTGTACACTTTTTTCTACCACATCTTTTCCTTCCCTTCACCTCTCTATCAATGTGCTTGGACACAGAGCTCTGTGAACAGCCAGCCTCTTTAGCAATGACCTTTGTATCTTGCCCTCCTTGTGCAAGATGTCAATGATAGTCTTTTAGACAACTGTCAAGTCAGCAGTCTTCCCCATGATTGTGTAGCCAACAGAACTAGACTGAGACCATTTAAAGGCCTATGCATGTGTTTTGAGTTAATTAGCTGATTAGAGTGGCACCAGGTGTCTTCAATATTGAACCTTTTCACAATATTCTAATTTTCTGAGATGCTGAATTTTGTTTTTTTATTAGTTGTCAGTTATAATCATCAACATTAAAAGAAATAAGCATTTGAAATAAATCAGTCTGTGTGTAATGAATGAATATAATATACAAGTTTCACTTTTTGAATGGAATTACTGAAATAAATAAACTTTTTCATGATATTCTAATTTTATGACCAGCACCTGTAAATTGAAAGGTTACATTACAAGCTACACGTTGTCCTGATTTGTGAATTGTTCTGTGAAGCTTTTAAAACTTTTTAAAGCGTTCCTCAGCTGTTCCGTCTCTTCACGCCCGGCAGGATTCACGCAGAGTTCCAGCTCAACGAGGTCCCCAACTTTCCCTTCTGGTTCACTCCGGGACAGTTCACAGGCAACATCGTCCTCTCGAAAGACGCTTCGCACGTCCGCCACCTCCACCTCTACGTCCCTAATGACCGGTAAGCTGCTGTATGTTTCCTTCATCTTGCTGCAGTTCCAGTGTCACCTGACCTGCGTGTTGCAGGTCTCTCAACGTGGACATGGAGTGGCTGTACGGAGCCAGTGAGAGCAGCAACATGGAGGTCGACATCGGATACCTGCCTCAGGTACAGCTACAGATATAATACGACTTATTTATGTTATTTCAACGTGTAAAGTTTCTCTTGATGTTTTCTAGTTGGAGCTGCAGTCATCAGGCCCGTCCACTCCCTCCACCATCATGGACGAGGAGGGAAATGTCATTGACAGCAGAGGCGCTGGCGGCGGAGAGCCGATCCAGTTTGTTTTCGAGGAAATTCATTGGAGTTCAGAGATCAGTCAGGAAGAAGCCTTAAGACGCTTGGAGGTGACCTTCTACCCGTTTAAGAAGGTAAACCTCCACAAGAGAGAATCACTAGTGCGCTTTCACAAACGCTTTGTAGCTGATGTTGCGGGTCCTTTTAGGTGCCATACTTGCCTTTTCCAGAGGCTTTTGAGCGAGCTGAGGCAGAGAAGAAGCTGGTGCATTCTATTCTGCTCTGGGGAGCTTTAGACGACCAGTCCTGCTGAGGTGAGCTCATCACTAACGACATAGTTTCACAACCGGCTGCTCTGCTGCAGATTGTCTCTTTTTAAAGGAGAAACATGGTAAAAAAAACAACTTTCACTTTTCAGACTGTGATGAAAGATGAACACGTTTGGTAGTTAAAAATCATCAGTGTGAGTTCAGAAACTAGTTTTGTAGTTAGTGGTGGGTTTTCACGTCCTTCTGCCTCTGCAGGTTCGGGGCGAACTCTCCGGGAGACAGTCCTGGAAAGTTCGCCCGTTCTGGCTCTGCTCAACCAGAGCTTCATCAGCAGCTGGTCTCTGGTCAAAGAGCTGGAGAACATGCAGGTGAGCACTCAGTGAAACCAGAAAAGAATCAAACTACCAACAAATCGTTATCACCGTAAGCTTGTTGCGAATGCTGATACATGGAAGGTGACGCTGTTTTCCAATGGGAGATTTGAAAGTCAGGATCTTCCAGTCATTACAGCCGAAGGCCTGAAAATTGAAAAAGTATCACAGTATAAATATTTAGGATTTTTAAATAGATGAGTTTTTGTCTTTTACTTCCCACATTCAACAGCTGGTGAAGAAACTGAGATTAAAATTGGGATTTTATTTCAGGATCAGATCCCGTCGATCTTTTGAGGCTAGAAAGCGACTGGTTGATGCTGCTTTTATGTCTGTACTGGACTATGGTGACACTTTATACATGCATGCTCCTCTTAAATGTCTTTATTCACTGGATACTGTTTATCGTGGAGTTTTAAGATTTATAACAGGTTTATAAAGTTTTACACATCATTGCACTTTATACAGCTGGGTTGGCTGGACGGCCTTGGCCTCTCGTAGACGCCGCCATTGGCATATTTTTATTTATAAATCCATACTGGGACTTCTTCCTTCGTATCTGTTGGCCTTTATAAAGAGAAAGTCCACCGGAGGATACGCTCTTCGTTGTGAGAACTTAATTTTACTCTCGGTGCCTAAAGTTTGAACTGAACTTGGAAAGAAATCTTGTCATTTTTCTGCTCCATCTTCTTGGAACCCGCTGCAGAAATACATGAACCTAAAGGAGTTTGTTGTCACGAAACGGTTTTAAGGCTGCTCGTACTGATTTGGAGAAGGAATCACGTGTAAATGAGAAATCTTAACGGATTAATTTATGACGGAGTTAACTTTTTCTGTTTTGCTGTGAATGTTCTGTAACCTCTGTGGGCTGTCTTGGCCAGGACTCTCTTACAAAAGAGATTTTTCATCTCAATGGGATTGAGGTGAAAGAAAGGTTGAATACATTTAAAAATGATTACGTCCATATTAACTTTTTTTCTGTGTCAGGCTGACGACCAGAACCCTGCTCTGAGTACAAAGGCCCGTTTACACCTGGAAAATTACAGTTTCCCAGTAGAGATGATGGTGGCCCTGCCTAATGGAACCATTGTAAGTACAGCTGTTACTATTGCCATCAAATTATAGGAAAACACCAAATGTTAAAATGCAGCAGAACACTTCCTCTGAATGCCTCATGCGCTTTGGATTGTAGTAATTACCACAGCATTGCATAACTAGTCCCATATATGTATTTTCTAGGTCCACCACATTAATGCTAACTACTTCCTGGACCAAACAGCCATGAAGCCTGAGGACGAAGGAGCAACTCTGAGCTTTTCTGGGGGGTTTGAAGACCCCTCCACATCCACGTATATTACCTTCCTGAAAGAGGGGCTGGAGAAAGCGAAGGAGTACATGGCACAGTAACGTGCTCATAGAGACTTTCAACTTCTGAAAGGGACAATTATTCTGATTATTAAGAAAACACCAACAATATATAGATTGTCTAATCTGTGTTGGCAGCTGGGAAACAAGTTTGCCTTTTGTCCTCCGTTCCTCATTTGAGCATTTTTCTTGGTTAAAAATGACGTTTTTATACAGGTTTTGTATTCTGAGTGCACACGACTGACGTGCCTGCAGCTGCAGGTTAGTCATTAAAAATGTCAGCGGAGGCGTGTCACGTGACATCCCAACACAACGCGCCGCCTAAAGCTGATTGTTTTCAGTGTTTAAAGCAGATCTTCCTGCTGTTCTTGGCGCTCTCAGTGGAGGTGATGTTGTTGCCTCCAGCTGTGTCTCTGCAGTTTGTGAAGACTTCACCTGAAAGCTCTCTGAGCTGGGGGGCGTCTGATTTTGTTGCCGGGGCTGCTGGAGGAAACTCCATCCTCTCACTCGGAGGAGCGCACAAAACCAGCAGGAAACAAAAAAAAAAAAACTGAGCTAGACTGTTGCACATAAAATTATATTATTTTAGAGTTTGAAACTGTGTTAAAAATGTTTTTGCTTTTGTGAATCAGATGAAATCCAAACCAAAAAGTGTTGTTTTGTTTGTTTGTCAGATAAATTCAGTCACACTTTTTTATACTTAACGAATATGAAACAACTTATTTTACATTTTAGCAACAAAAAAAAAAAAAAAATCAGTGCTGTGTAGGTTAAACTGACAATTTGCATGTTCTTGACATGTTTCTTCTCACGTCTCTGGATGTACATCAACAACTCATGAACTTTGACCTCATTTAAGATGGCTGCCACAGCTAACTGTCTTTAGCAAAGAATGTCAGTAGGTCATGAATACTGAGCTGAAGTTTTGTGAGCAAGTAGCTGAGAATCATGAACACAAACTCTTGAGTGCCAACAGATTGCACAATACTAGAATTTTAAATTTGACATGTATAAAATCCTGTCCGTACGATGTTTAAAGCAGTCAAGGGGCTGGAACTGGAAAATAAATTGTATTAAAACATAATCTGGAAGACTTTTTTTTGTGTTGTAGCATGCTTGATTAAAAAAAAAATCTCGATACTCTTCAGGAATCAGACATTTTGTAAACTGGCTCATGTGACAGTGTATGTGTTAGTTTGAATATGAAAATATCTTAAAGGTTCAACCTAGTTCTGGAAATATAACTTTAAATTAACTAGTTTTAGCCCGTCTTATTTAAAGGATTTCAATGTATTTGTCTAAGATTTTTAGACTTTTAAAGTTCCATTGATTAAAACAAAAACAAACAGGTTTTCATCAACCTATTTAAAAATTATAAGAAAATTAAGGTCCACATGAAGATTGTCCAAGGGCCACTTTTGGCCCTCGGACCACATGTTGACAACATACTTTTCTTTCAAAAATACTTTATTTTTCAAATAAAACTGCTTTTGTATTTTTGAGACAACTTAAGATGCCGTCATCATATCAAGACATCAAATGCGCATGGTGTTTATTTGTTTTATTTATTACAGTACTGTACAATGTGAGCAGAGTAGCCTGTAGTTATCCGTTGAGCTGAATGACAAGTTCATCATTTATTCTTTCACGTGCAGAAACTGCAGCAATGAGTCAATGTTTTAAATAAAAGGCATGTTCTTGAAAGAGGGTCCTCTCAAACTGCAGCTCCGTGTACTCGGGGAAACTATCTCTGATGAAAAGGCCAAAAAAAATCAAATAAAAACGTGTGGTCGTGACAAGGAAGAGTTGGCTGGAGAGGAACGTCTTCCTCGTTACACCTGAACGTTACATGAAAGTACAGTCATGCATGAGGTCGCAGGGCAGACGCCTCATTGTATTTATACAATTATGAAATTATTGAAGTTGCTAATTCACATTAAGAGCAAAGTGAGAGGATTTAAAGAATCCAGTTTTTGTCCAGTTTCACTGCCAAACCCACAGGAAGGAGTCGAACATTTAAAAAACCATCAGCTGCCGGAAACTCACTGGGACTGTGAGCCTCAACGAGTTCACAAAAATCCACGATCACAGATGAATCCAGTTGATATAGATGGATTTCTTCATGAAACAAAGAAGCAGCTTGTCGTTTGCTTGGTGACAAATAAAGATACTTTTATTCAAGCGGTGACCGAGTCCAACAGGAAGAAGCCATCGCTTCTCCTCAGCTGCTGAGCGTCCACACCTCCAGCTCCATGATGCGGAAGTCATCGGTTTCAGAGAGGCAGCAGTTGTTGAAGGTGTAGCAAGGGCTGCTGCGGCCCCGATACAGACTCTCATCCACCCACAGCCCAAAGTGGCCACTGATGAGTACAAAGGATATCATATTTCTCATACAGGTAGAAATTAGACAAAAAAAAGGTCAAAGTTAGAGTTACCTTCCTCCACCAACTGCAAAGGAGTCCAAGTCTCCTTTAATGAAGAAGGAGTTCTCTCCAGTCCACCTGAAACACTAAGGGACAACAAATAACTGATTATTTTCCAAAATGCATAAAAAATGATGAAGTTGTGCTCATTCTTCAAGCTGACATTCGCTGAAAGGCAAAGGAGGACAACAGTTAGTGACTGTGTCTTTTTAGTAAAATACTTCATGAACCACTGGCTGGACGTTAATTAAACTTTCACCAAGTAATTATTGGATGTTCAACTACAACTGTTTAACTTTTGTAACTAACCCTATTCAAGATGGCCGCCGCAGCCAACTGACCTTATAGATCCTAAAAACGCTATAATTCAATCAGTTTTACAGATAATGAGCTAAAACTTGGTGCGTAAGTAGCTGAAGATCTTTCACAGCGCATATTTCAAAGGCTACTCGATACACAAGTTCTATGCTTAAATCCTTAGTGTTAATTGTTGGAGTTAACCCTGTTTGTCTGTTAGCAAAATATCTCCTGAACCACTGGATGGATTTCAAAGAAACTTTCACAAAGTAATTAATAGATGTACATCTACAATAGTTTATCTTTTGAGGTATTTCTGATTCAAGATGGTCATCACAGCTAACTGGATATAGCTAACACAAAATGGCTACAAGTCAGTCAGTTTCACAGATATCAAGCTAAAATTTGATGTGGTGGTAGCTGAGAGTCATTCATAATAAATACTTTGAGCACAAGGTGATATCTCATGAGACCACACATTTACATTTTTTTTTCAAGGTTTGACAAAACAGTAACGTTACTTCCCAACATCTTTGTCCGAAGATGATTTTTGTCTTTTAATTTTCTGGTCCTAAATTGCATCCTAAAACCACGCATGAAATGCAGAATTTGTGTGTTAACTGTATCATCTTTCTTACCTTGAATCGAGGACGCAACATGAAGAGAAAGGTTTCTCCAGTACCGTAGAACGTCTCACTGGGTCTCAGAGGGTGGGACAGGAAGGCTCCGAAAACCTGACAGATCCACAGGACAGAGTCACAGAACGCAGCAACTGTAAACAAAACATCCGATCTATAGTTCGTGTTAAAGCTTGTACCTCATCAAGTGCGTCCTTGATGACGATCAGCACAGGAGAATCTGTGGAGCCCAGTTTTCTGTACAGAGACTTGAGGCTGGCGCCGTGACGCGACGTGCTGTAGGTCAGCTGCCACGTGCGGCCGACGGTCCTGGGGGGCAGCTCCTTACACAGCTGGAACAAAAGAACGGGACATCGAAGGTAAATTAACCTGAATAATGTGATGGCTATACGATGTGTTCAGGCTGCGCCACACAAACATGCAGCTGTGAAATATTACCAAGGTCAACGCTCGAGTAAAACCTGAACTAACTTTTTAAACCAGAGTGGCAAAGTTTGACTTGATCCACTTATTTAAAAAAAGTTGCAGCAGTGTTTATGTTGATTACCGTACTGGCTGCTGTACACGTTGCACCGCCGGATAAGTCGCATCAGTCTAAATATGTCTAATAAAGTGAAAAACACATAAATAAGTCGCATCTATTATGTGTCACCGCTGACAACCCGGAAACATGGGCCGGTGTTGTGCCAAAAATTGATTGGCTGCCAAATGGCGGCCGCGGGAGCGTGCACGGGAGGACTTTAACAACAATTTAACAAGATTAACACTTAAAAACAACTATTTATTTGCTTGAAATTATAGTAAAGGTGTGTCTCAGTCTAACGTTTCCTTAATAAATGCACTTTAACGGTCAAATCAGCTGCATTTCACCTGGACGGTGTGACAAAATGCAGCTGATTTGACGTTTGCTCCAGGAGTTCTGGAGCGAGACGAAGGTGGCTTGGTATGGCAAGACAAGCGTCTCATTAATAGCCACTTTTACCTATTAATGACATGCTTGGCTAGTCGAATGCCCTCTAGAGGCTGAAAATGGTAGTGTTCAATATTTTCCATGTCAGAATGAATGAAATCGTCAGATCTCAGACAAAAATTGGTGATAAATATGGGAAAAAAACATAAATACGTCGCTTCGCTGTATAAGTCGCAGGGCATGCAAATTATGCAAAAAGGTGCGGCTTATACGGTGAAAAGTACAGTAATACTTTTGTAATTTGAACTGGAGTTTTGATGAGTCTATTAAAACAACCAAAGAGTCACAAAAAGAATCTCACAGACTCAAAGAGACTCGGGTTGTGGAGTCAGATCAGAGGAGACGCTGCTCACCTCCTTGACGTGTGAGGCTTCCAAAATATGGCTGCCCTCCACGACATTACTGAGCCCTTCAGGTTCCCGGTCGATGACCAGAGCTGGTTTGTCCTTGCTCTCCTCCATCGGCACCATCTGCAGAAACAAACAGCGACGGGTTTGAAGGAACACGTTCAAACCTGTTTGTTCTGGAAGTATATTCAGATGTAAACTCACCCGTTGCTCTCTACGTCTCTTTAACGTCTTGTCTGACTGTCCTATGAGACCAAACTAAACCCGCTCACCTCCCAGTCATCCCCTGAGCTGAGCTGCGTCGAGAGCGTCTCCTCCTCTTCCTCCTCCTCCTCCTCTCCTTGGTCCTCAATGAGAACAAACCCCTCTTCGTCGTGGTCCCCCTCTTCCTCTCCCTCGAGCACGCGCAGGTCTGGCCGGAGGCGCTTCAGGTAGGTCCGCAGCTCGTCGGAGCTGCAGCAGAACGCAGGAGTAGAGATGACCAGCGAGCCAACACGTTGACTTTAAATCAGTTTTTTTTTTTACATCGTGTGTTGAACTCAAGTGAACAAAACTAAAGCAACTCCTAAAAAAAACGTTCTTGTAAAAGCGCATTCAGAGAGGACAGAGGCGTTAAAGAGTCACTCATTGAAATGAATGGATCCTCGTTCACTTTGGAAAAACCAGCAGCAGCAACACCAAAAGAAAAAACACACAAACACAAAACATCTGCAGTTAAAGGCTCGTCATTCAGTGAAGGTAGATACATGACCTGACATCTTTCGTGGCAGTTTCACACTAACTTTATCTTGTTTAAAAAAAAAAAAAAGCCTTTAAAATAATGTCGTATTGCAAAGGGTCGCACTCAAATTATGTTTTATTAAGTCTATCAACTAGGACTGCATCAAAATGTAGCTGAATATCTGTAAAACTGACTGTTATATCCATTTTGGTATTAGCTAATTTTGATTATCGTGGCGACCATCTGTTAATGGATTGACTCCAAAAGTTAATCAGTTGTAGATGCTTGTCCAATGATTACTTTCCAAGAGTTTCATTAAAATCTATTCAGACGTTCCTCAGATACTTTGCCAACAGACAAAGTTAACAAGAGTACTTGGAGTACGTGTTGTAAATGTGTTGTGAACTTTAAAAGTTAATCAGTTGAAGACGTACATCCAATGATTGCTTTTAACTAACTTTATCTGGTGGTTCATGAACACAAGCGCAAGCAAAAGTGAATATTAGGCACAAAAACTGACAAATGAAAATCGTTGCGAGTTTTAAAAAAGGTTTTGGTCAGTATTTGTGATTAATTCTAAAACCTCATTAGAGAAGCGCATTGTGCGTTTTCTTTATGATCATTCAGAGGATCGTCCAGTTTAGTTTGTTGGACCATTGTGCGCTCACAAGTGCTCAGAACAGCACGTGCTTTATAAAATCATTACACTCACGCCCTCGTACCTAAGAGTGGGAGCATCACCATCACAGAAATTACCACTCCAATCAATTTTATCCTGACTTTTAAGGTTTAAACCGACTAAAATGAGTTGTTTTGTAAATCTTTTGAGGTGAACCTACGCTGTTAGGGTCATACGCTCATTTGTCTCTATGTGTCCCTGTGATGGACTGGAGGCCTGTCCAGGGTGTCCCCCGCCTCTCACACAGTGATGGCTGGACATGGACACCAGTGACCACCATGAACCGAAAAGGAGGAAGAGGGTAAACATAATGGATGGATGGATGGATGGATGGATATATAGCGCCAAGTTATGACAGAAGTCGTCTCAGGGCACTGTACTGAAACATCCACATACTGTTTGAAAACAACAAAGTCCATGCTCAATAATCCAGGTATACAATCCAACATTTTTCAGTCAGGTCATCTGGACAGTTTCTTTTTTTGTGCTGAAACAGTTTGACACGACTCAACAAGGAAGGCAAGGCAATGGAGGAGGGGGCATTCCAAATAGACCAACTTAGCACCAGCATAACTGGTTTGTTCCACTTTGGAGTGAGCTGTTGGGGGACGAATCAGTTTTGTGTTGTGTGTTTCCTTGACTGATGAAGCCTTCTGGATCGAAGGCTTTATGTTTTTCCCTCTTCGTGATGCTTTTTTTGACTAATGTGACTTATACACTGGAAAATACGGTACATAAAAAGCCAATTAGTAAAGTTCTCTATCTAATGAAGTCAGCAGATTTAGTTGAATCTCCACTTCGTCACAGTCTCCCAACCTGAGCAAGCACAGTGGCAACAGTGGAAAGGAAAAACTCCCTTTTCACAGGAAGAAACCTCCAGCAGAACCAGGCTCAGGACGAGCGGCCATCTGCTTCGACCAATAAAAAAAAAAACACTTGGGCATTTCTTACCTTTCCTGTGACAGAGCCAGCCAGGCGTCCCTCCTGGGTAACGTTCTGCTTGAACCCGTCTTCTTTCCTGAAGGCGACTGAACCCGCAGCCGCACAAACATCCAGCCCCCGAGGCTCCCTGAAGATGTCCTTCGAGGCACTAAAAGATGAACAGAGTCAGAGTAAAGAGAATGTAAATAAGAAGGCAGCACATTTACCAGCCAGACGTAGTTCACACCTGCGTTCTGACTGTCCACAGAGGACTTGTCTGTGTCCTCTGTGTTACTCTCCGTGTCTTGACCTCCACAGCAGAAGGTGGTGCTGCTCAGGCCAGCCAGGCCACCCACAGACTCCTCTGACAACACCTCCCGAGAGCTGCGGTCCAGCTCCCGCTCAGCCTCCACCATGTCTCTGCTCTCTGCCTCCTCCTCCTCTGAGGCAACCTTGGACTGTGATGAAGCCAGAGCTGAAAGAGCCTCCCCCTCCTTGTGGTTTCTGAGGCAGCCTGCTCGGCGTTTGGCATTTTTGAGCTTCTTGAAAAAGTTCCTTCCTTTTTTGTCTCTCCTATAATAAAAGCAAGAAAAAGTGGCTGCGTTGGCTTGTCGTCTAATTTAAGTCTTGTTTGCGATAAGATACGTCAAATCCCTGCTGACCTCTGCTGGGCGATGTTGAAGTGGATGTGGGAGATGTCAGAGAAGAAGGAGACAGATGTCAGAGAGTCGACAGAGCAGGACAGGAGGTACTCCTCACAGCCATGCTCCTTCACCAGAGGATGAGTCTTACTCGGGTCAAAGAAGATTTTATTAGACGTCACCAGCAGGATACCAGCAACCACGCCCTGACAGGGACAGAAATGATGAAATGAGTTTATTACTGACAACAATCAGAGCAATGTTTCTTATCCCCACCTTGCCGTCGGTGATGTAGCGGCAGATCAGTTTGAGGTACAGCACGGCCTCTGGACCCTCTCCCTGACAGAATTCTGGTGGAAGCGCCAACAAGCAGAGCTGTCCGTCAGGCAGCGACACCGCCTCCACATCCTGTCAGCAACACCGTCAACAACGTGGAGATTTTATTTGGCAAGAATGACAGTTTTCAAAGGAAGAAAAGGAACTGATCATGACGTTTCCTAAACAAATTAAACCACAATTCTGAAAAACGTTGGGACTAAAAATAGAACGCACATACTTTATTTGTAATTGAATATAGTAAACGTATAAAATGTAAAACAGTATCTTTAAAAAAAAAGACCGATGCAACAGTGCATCTCAAATATGATGAGACAGGAGTAACAAAAGGCTAAAGTTTGTGGTTTTATAGTTTGCTATCATTAGGTTAACTGACAACAGGTCTATAATAGGACTGGATACAAAAAGAGAATTTTACAGAGGATGAAGCTCTCAGAAGTAAAGATGGGAAGAGGTTCATCAGTGGAAAAACTGCATTTTAAAATAGTGGAATAATTTCTGGATAACGTTCCTCAAAGGAAAATTGTAAACCAGTCACTAGAGAGCATAAGACAGTGTATCTCTTGTGCTGGTCCCAAGCCCAGGTACATGTTGAGGGTTGTGTCAGGAAGGGTAACCAATGCAAAACACTTTTGCCAAAACTAATAAGCAAGTTTGTCCAAACCACACCATATCAGAGCAGTTCAGACCTGTGCTAACAAAGACCGTCACGGTGCTGTTGACAGCAGAAATGTCACTACTGTTAGTCGAAGACCACGAGGAGAGAAACGTGCCAGGAGACAGAGGGACAAAAGGAAAGTTAAGCCACACGATCAAGATCTGGGAGAGAGTTGTGGAAGCTAGACTTAGATGACAGGTGACTATTTGTGACTATATGGTTTCATGCAGAGAAAGAGCACCACAGATGCCATCTTGGACCCTTCCTTAAAACTCAACAGTCATGTAAACATGATTGATAAATCCTGTTTTTTTTTCAGCTGAGGCGGCGGTCTAAGCTGAAGCCCATATTGTCCAAAAAGAATATTGAAACAGCGATCCATGCATTCATAACATCCAGGCGCGACTACTGCAATGCGCTTCTGTTTGGAATCAGTCAGTCCTCCACTGCACGTCTACAACTGGTCCAAAAAGCTGCCGCCCCATTTTTAACTGGTACAGGCCATAGAGAGCACATTACTCCAGTCTTGGCCTCCCTGCACTGGCTACCCATTCACCTTCGGATCCAGTTCAAAATACTCATGTCTGTTTTTAAATCACTGAACAGTTCTGCCCCATCCTATCCCACTGATCTTCTGCAGCCATATGTCCCACCGCGCTCTCTGAGGTCAGCGGACCAGATGCTTCTTTCAGTTCCAGAAACCCGTCGTAAGCTCAGAGGTGACAGGGCTTTCTCTGTTGCAGGTCCAAGACTGTGGAATGAGTTGCCACTGCGTGTCAGGCAGGCTCCCACACTCTCAGTCTTTAAGTCTCACTTGAAAACACACTTTTATTCCCTTGCCTTTGACACGGTGTGATTTGTTTTAATCCTGTCTGTAGTCTACAGCGTTGGCCATTTTGTCACAATTCACGCCTGCTAGGTTAGATCTTCTATCACCCTGTGTACTGCTTGGTGTCTGTGGATCCTTCTCTTCTGTCTGCATGTGTGGGGTTAAGGTTGTCTTCACTGATCAAACCAGTTTGTCTTCATTGCAGCACCTACAGCTCTGATTACTTTTCAATTAGCTGCACCTGTCTCTGCACCCTTTATAAGTCAGACTCTCACACAGGGTGATTGCCAGACAAACGTACTTGTAAAGTGCATATTCAAAACATAATAGATAAATGTAAGAGAGTGTTAAATGTAATGAGGTGTTTGGTGGGGAGCTGAGAGGAAATCACTGAAATCAATATACACAGGTTTAATTAGGTCCTTATTTGATTAAGGCAGTATAGCATTTGGGTCAGCATCAGATACATTACTCAAAAATTAGATAATATTCAGCATCAAGCCTTGAGATTATGTACAGGTGCCATCAGAACAACTCCAACATCAGCTTTACTGGTGGAAATGGGAGAAATGCCACTTCAGCTTAGACAATTACAAATACTTTCAACTTACTGGTGTCATTTAAAATGTCATAATGAAAATCATCCATGTCGAGAGATTTTAAAACCTAGCTGTGAAAAAGAGAAAAATAAATTAAATTCCTTTGGCTGGACTGTAGAAAACATTATAAAAGATTTAGATATATCTCACATAAATATTAGTCAAACAGTCCCTCAGTCTCCAGTTCACCCATCTCTTTTAACTAATAGTGATGTTGATCTCACTTTGTTGGAAAATCGTAAAAAAGAAAACATTTTAGATTCTCATTCAACACAAGCATATTTAGATAGTAAGTATTATGGATATGTCCAAATTTATACGGATGCATAAAAAAACTCAAATAACAGTAGCGGGGTTTCATTCATTTTTCCAGAATTCAGTTTCAAAACAGGTAAAAGAATTACTGACGGAGTCTCGGTCTACACAGGAGAGATGATGGGAATCATTTTAGCTCTGGGATGGATTGAGGAAGTTCGTCCATTAAGGAATGTAATATGTTCTGATTCAAGTTCTTCATTATACTCATTGAAAAATAATCATTCAGACAGAAGACCTGACCTTTTATTAGAAATTCAATTATTAATTTATAGAATTCAAGCGATGGGTTTATTAATTACATTTATATGGATACCATCACATATAGGAATAAAAGGAAATGAGTTGGCAGATAAATATGCAAAACAAGCAACAAAAAATACTTACATTGATATATTGGTATCATTCAGTAAGGGAGAAATCAAATCAGTTATTAAACAAAAGGTGAAGGAAAGATGGCAGAAACAGTGGGAAGAAGAAAGAACTGGCAGGTGGTTTTATAACATTCAAAGGAAAGTTGGTGTGAAGAGGAGAACAGGACGAAATAGAAAGGAGGAAACAGTCATATCCAGATTGCGTTTTGGTCACACAAGATTAAACAGTACATTGTTTAAAATGGGAAAACATCCTACAGGAAAATGTGACTTTTGTTTTCAAGAAGAGACAGTGAATCATGTTTTATTATTCTGTCCCAAATATTCAGCTGAGAGAAAGGAACTGGCACGTAGACTACAGGACAACAAACTACAGTTGAATATACACAATCTTTTGGATAAACTTCCCACTTCTGATTATATTGTTTGTTTTTTTTGTTTTAGAGAATATAGTATTTGTTTCCTTTTTTCTTTTTCTTTCTTATTTTATTATTATTTTATTTAGTTATAGTAATAATATTATTATTGTTTTATATATATTTTTGTTAAAAACTTGTGTAGTATTTATTTAGCATCCCAATCCACACTCCATTCCAGTAGATGGCGGTAATGAACATCTAAACGCTGCTTGCCAACCACGATGAAAAAGAAGAAGAATGATAGCCAGATAGTTGAAAACAGTTTACTGCCAGTAGATATCCCGCGCTTTGGGGTGTCAGTAGGGAAAAGGATCACTGATAAATTATCGGTATATACGGGAGAAATGGTCGCTTTATTATTGGCTGTTCAGTGGGTAGAGGATATTAAACCGATGAGAACAATAATATGTTCGGATTCTAGCTCTTCTTTAATCAGTTTAAAACATAATGGTTCAGAGTGTCGGCCGGATATATTAGTAGAAATACAACAAATGCTGTACAGGTTGAAAATGATGGGACTAGCTGTGACTTTCTTATGGATACCAGCACATGTCGGTATAACAGGAAATGAAAAAGTAGACAAAATAGCGAAAAGTGCTACCAAAAGAGAGGTAGTGGATATAGAAATAGCATACAGTAAATCAGAATTAAAAAGCATTATTAAACAAAAAATGAGAGAAAAATGGCAAAAACAGTGGGAGGAAGGAAGAAAAGGACGTTGGTTTTATAGAATTCAAAGGAAAACGGGAGAAATGAGGTGCGCTGGAAGAAACAGAAGGGAGGAAATAGTTCTATCACGGCTAAGATTTGGACATGTTGGGTTGAATAAGTCATTGTTCATTATAGGAAAACATGATACAGGAAAATGTGGGTACTGTGGAGAGGATGAGGATGTAGAACATGTGTTAATACATTGTCAAAAATACAGTCTTGAAAGGAATCAACTGAATACTAGACTCACTGACATGAAATTAAGATTGGATCTTTTTGAATTATTACAGCACAATTCAAAGTCTGAAAGTATTCGAGCTTTAATGCAATACTTGAAACAAACTCGATTGTTTGAGAGAATATAGTTTTTTTTTTTTTTTACGTTGATCCAGTCCATACTCCACACCAGTAGGTGGCGGCCATGCACCTTTCAGTTGTTTGCTCACCGCCATAAAACCCCAATAAGAAGAAGAAGAAGAAGATATCCCGCGCTCTTGATCTCTTGTTCCTGTATCTCATAGTTTTTCATAATGTTTACCCAGTTTAGTCACCTACCTGTCCTTGCTCCTGTCCCGTTCCTTGGTTTGTTTCCTTACCTCTTTGCTTTGCTTTCCCGGCTTCCTGACTCATCGCTCGCCTGACTTCACCTTCTGCTCGACCCCCTGGACTGATGTCTCTCTGAAAACGGTAACGTCCCCCGCCTGTATGACTACGTCCTCTCGTCTCACCTGTCGGTCTTGCCACCCATCTGCTTCCTGGTTTTGGACTCTCGCCTGCTGGACTTCCCTCTGTGCCTCACAAATTGGTACCGTTGGTCATCTGCTTCCTGGTTATGGACCCCCGCCTGTTGGACAAGCCTCTTCACCTCACGGACTCCAAACACTGGCTCACCAATGTGGCCGGTTGCCTTCTCTCACCAGAACCAGCCTCTCCTGCAGCTGCTCAGTCCTGCTGGAACGACATCAGTCTCTGGAACCCCCCTCAACCAACAAGACGGTTAGTGGTCACTTCTCTTTGTCTATTACAGTTGCCCCTGTCTCCAGCTTTGGTTGGCCTTGTTGCTGTTTTAAGTGCTATATAAATAAATTGGTATGGTATGGTATGGTATGGTATTCCAGCCCAGACACCCAGAACTCGACACCAGAACCAGTCTCGACTCAATTACACTAAAGCGGGTCCTTACAGTAAACTTGGTTTTAACTTGTTTATTTTTGGTGGTGATTTTGGTCCAACCCCTTTTCAAAGGGGGGGCTCATTACACATTTAGTTATTCACTGCTATTTGTATCTATATTTTTATTTTGTTTTCCTGTCCACTGTGCTTGTTTGTTTCTATTGTACAGCACTTTGGTTGGCCTTGTTGCTGTTTTAAGTGCTCTAAATAAATTGGTATGATATCTTTGCTTTGAGTATAATGATGAAGAATTTACAGAGAGGGTCAGAAAAAACTCCATTGTGTCTTTGTGGATTTAGAAAAAAAAACGCATGACAGAATGCCAAGGGAAGAGGTGGCAGAGAAGTATGTTAGACTGGTACAGGACATGTATGAGGACAGCGGTGAGATGTGCTGTAGGAGTGACAGATAGCTTTGAGGTGGGAGTGCATCAAGGATCAGCTCTGAGCCCCTTCTTGTTTGCTCTGGTGATGGACCAACTAACAGATGGGTAGAAATCTCCATGGACTATGTTTGCAGATGACATTGTGGTCTGTGGTGAGAACAGGGAACAGGTGGAAGAGAACTTGGAGAGGTGGAGGTATGCACTTGAAAGAAGAGGAAAGAAAGTCAGCCATAGTAAAACAGAGTACATGTGGAACAGTGAGGCTACAAGGAGCAGAGGTCACAAAGGTGCAGGACTTCAAGTACTTGGGGTCCACTGTCCAGGAAAATGGGGAGTGTGGTAAAGAGGTGAAGAAGAGAGTCCAGGCAGGATGGAGTGGATGGAGAAAAGTTTCAGGAGTGATTTGATTCAATTCAGTTTATTTATATAGCGCCAAATCACAACAAAGTTGTCTCAGGGCGCTGTACAGGAACATTCGCAACAAAAGGGTGTCAGCAAAGGTTAAAAGAAAAGCTTACAAGACAGTGGTGAGACCAGCTATGTTGTATGGTCTGGAGACAGAGACATGGACAAAAAGACAGGAGACAGAACTGGAAGTAACAGAAATGAAGATGTTGAGGTTCTCCTTAGGAGTGACAAGGATGGATAAGATTAGGAATGAGATCATCAGAGGAACAGCACAGGTTGAACAACTGGGAGATAAAGTTACAGAGACCAGACTGAGATGGTTTGGAAATGTCCAGAGGAGGACAGTGGGTATGCTGGTAGAAGGATGTTCGAAATGCAGCTGCCAGGAAAAAGACAGAGGAGAAATATGGATGTAGTTAGAGAGGACATGGTGGTAGTTGGAGTGAGGACAGAGGATGCAGAGGACAGCGTGAGATGGAGGAGGATGACTCACTGTGGAGACACCTGAAGAGGGAACATCAAAATGAAGAAGTTCCTCAGTGGAAAATTAGGAAGACTTTATATTATTCCATCATATATTGTTCATAATATCAAAAGTGTTCAAAAATCTCTAAACTCTAAAGTTCAGGCTACAAGTTAATATTGCAGCCCTTCTTCCACAAATCATTACACAGTTCACTCTGGTGTCCACAAATGCAGGTTAAAGCTCTAATGTGCAAATAAGAAGGTTATGTGTACACTAGGGCATTAACAGAGTACTCGAGTAATCTACACATCGATTGCTAGGACATCTATCGAGGTTAAAAATGTAACGTCGGGTATCCGTAGTGACGTCATATTATGTGACCACCGTATCAATCAATCAATCAATCAATTTTATTTATAAAGCACCCTTCATACTAAAAGCAGCTCAAAGTGCTGTACAGAATTATAAACAATAAACCCACAAAATAAAGTCAAACAACACACATAAAATAAAATAAAATTGTATGGAAAATGTATAGACTGAACAGAAATGAACCAGTTCAGGAAATACAGTTAAAAAGATGGGTCTTGAGCCTGCTCTTAAAAACAACAACAGTCTCTGCGTCGGACTCTCCTCAGGTTCTCCGGCAGACTATTCCACAGACGGGGGCCATAGTACTGGAAAGAAGCCTCACCGTAAGTGTGAGTTCTGACTATTGGAACTGTTAGTAGTCCAGTGCCAGAGGACCTTAGTGTCCGCGGGGGTTCATAGGGTAATAGCAGCTCTGCAAGATAAGATGGTGCGAGACCATTGAGACATTTAAAAACCATTAAAAGAATCTTAAAATCAACCCCGAGACGCACAGGGAGCCAATGCAATGATTTTAAAACAGGCGTAATATGAGCCTGCCTTCTGGTTTTGGTTAGCACACGAGCAGCAGAGTTTTGTAACAGCTGAAGGCTGGATACATTTTTCTTAGGGAGACCAGAAAGCAGTGCATTACAGTAATCTAAACAGCTAGATATAAAAGCTTGCATCAAAGTCTCAGTATTAGTGAAAGAGAGAAGAGGGCGGACTCTGGCTATATTTTTTAGATGGTAAAATCCTGTTTTGACAATATGTTTGATATGTGGAATAAAAGTACGCTCAGAGTCAAAAAGAATGAAAAAAGTATGACCGTAGGGGGCGGTGTTGCACTGTTGCAGGTCACAGAGTATGGTGCAACACCGGGTCCAATCCACCGAACCAGAACCAGTTTCGGTTTAAGTTTCGTTTTTGACGCGCTGCATGTTTCTTCACGTTTGCAGTTTAATAATAATAACTAATAGTTTAGTTTTTCCCGTGACTTATTTGCAGTATGATAAATGGTAGGAGCATAATATACGCTCCCAATGTTTTGTTGGTCTTTTTTTTTGGTAAACAATTACCTTTTTTTGCTGTTTTATTTATTTATATATTTTTGTATCTTGAGATCTATGACGTCATCAAATACTTGAGTTCTACTTGGGTTTTATGTTAATGTCAAGTTTAAAAATTATATACTCGTTCAACCCCTAGTGTACACCATCCAGAAGTGCTCCCGTCTTCTCTGGGCTAGGGTTGATTTAAAATAAAATGAGGCAAAGTGGATAACTGTTCTGTGGTCAGTCAAATGAACATTCAAATTATTTTGGGAAACCACAACGTTGTGTCCACCATACTCGAGAGGAGAGGGACTAGCAATCTTGTTATCAGAACACAGTTCAAAGGCCTGCCTCTCTAATGGTATAAGGGTGCATTAGAATAACTATAGCAGAACTGTATATACAAGTTTATATATATATATATATATGCTCCCATCCAGCAAAAAATCCATCAAAGAAGACCCCAGACAGTTGAACAGCAAGAATCTTATATCAGACAAGAATAAGACAACGTGATAAGACTGCAAAACTCTGCCTCCTTATTTCATCCAGTTTGCGTTTTAAGAGGTTTTTAAGATCTGTATGTATTTGTAGACACTTTTTACAGTCAATGTTTGCCACCAGCTTGTTTTCTGGTTGATAATTGAATATACTTGTCAGAGCATGAATCAAACATGAGGTTTGAGTGGAAAGTATTCTTCATCTTTCACATCCTCACTGATACCTGCTGTTCTGCATAAATCACACAAACATGCTGAGAACACTTGGCTATACTGTGAATTTTCATGCTTTGGGAGTGTAAATTACTCTAATTGTCAAAGCACTTTACAGCAAATGAAAAATCCTTTGCTGCTTGTGGCTGTGATTAGAAAAGTCAAAGTATTTAAAAAGCTCTGAATAATGCATCACCACGGCCTTTTCTACAAGAAACTTTGCAAACAACAGAGCTTATTTTTGAGAACGCTGTTACAATCAACACACAGAGCAGTCAACTTTAACCTCTCTGGAGTACAGCTGCATCAAAATATGCATCATGAAGAGGAAAAAAACAAAAACGGAGTATAAGTCGCATTTATTTAGAAGTGCATCAACAATCTTAGTCCATCTTATTCCTCGGAGTTCAGTAAAAACAGATGTAAGTACTGCTGGTAAATAGTGCAGTAAAAGTATGCACACACGATAAGCGCACACGCACACACTCATGCACTGCAGAACATGTAAAACATGCAGTAATGTTTCCACTTACCAGCAGTTTGTCATACTCTGCCTCTGGTGAGGGGGACTGAGGCTGAGCGCCGAGTGTCTCTAAACGATCCTGATCCTCCTCGTCCGCCGGATTCTCTTTAGGTTCAGAGTCCAGTTCTGTCTGAGAGGATCCGTCACTGCCAGAGCTGGTCTTTACCGTCGAGATCAGCTGCTTCAGAAAGGAAGCCACGATCAGATTAGCTCTAAAAATGACATGAGCTCACTGTGAAACTCAGAGAGAGGCGCGATCACTTCCCCTTTTCACATTTGCCCTCCTCTTTGTGTGTTTGTAGACACAACGAAGCTCCATTAGGAGCTATGTGGGCAGGAGTTGTAACTGTGAGGGTGAATGCATTATATCTACAACGCTTCTAAATCATGCTGATAAAATAACATTTAATTAAAATCATCTTATGATCAGTTTGATTTTGCTCATGATTTAAGCTCTGTGGAGCTAAATCTTGGCACTGTAATTAAAAATTGAAGGC